AGCTCTCCATCTCCAAGGGAGCAGCCAAGACCAGCGCGCTCCCTGCGGGTGCTCTGCTTCTGGTGCCGCTGAGCCAGGGGCCTGTCACCAGCAGAGTGGCAGCTTTGGACAAAGGTCTCCAGCCAGACCTGCCTGTGTAAATAAAGTTCTTTTTGTAAATTGCTTGTCAAATTTTGTTTTATGACCAGGTGACCCACCTGCTTGACCAAGGGATGCAGTGGATGGAATCTCTTTGGATTTCACTAAAGCATTCAATAGTGTCTCTCCCAGGATCCTTCTGGACAAAGTGTCCAGCCCCCAGCTGGATAAACACGGCGTGTGATGGCTGAGCAACTGGCTCACAGGTGGGGCACAAAGGGTGACAGGGACTGGAGTGACATCAGACTGTCCACCTGTCACTAGTGGGGTTCCACAGGGCTCTGTCCTCACCCCAGTGCTCTTCAACACCTTCATAAACGACTGGGACGCAGAACTGGAAGGGACACTGAGTGACTTTGTTGACAATACTAAATGGGGAGGAGTCTTCTGGTCCTGCACCTCTTTCACAGAGTGACCAGGCCCCCAGAGAGTCCAAGGGACAGATTGCAAGACTGAACACTGACACAGGAAGGGGGGGAGGCTGACACCCCATAGGGGTCTGGGCATCGGGGCAAGGACTGCCCTGCCCAGAGAGCCCGAGGGCAGTATACCCTCCCAAGGGCATAATGAAAATGTCCATGAGCCCTCCCAAGGGGAAGACAGCCTTGAAAAAGAGCTGTGCCAGGGGCAAAAGGACAAAGAGCTGTCCCAAGGGAGAGATGACCTTGACAAAGAAGTGTCCCAAGGGGAAGCTGGCAATGAACACAAGATACCCCAACAGCAAGGTGACTATAATGTCCAAAAGCTCTCCCAGTTGGAGGAGAACACTTACAAAGAGCTCTCCCAGTGGGAAGAAAACAGTGTCCCGTGCAGCCTCACGGGCTCATCACGACCAGAGCACACCAGACTGGGAAGGATCCGGCCCTCGTGCCGCACACGGAGCTCCCGCAGGAGGGGCAGAGCCGGGCCCTGCTCGGTGGGATGCACGGAGTGGAAGCCCAGGCCCTCAGTGGGCAGCAGGAATGGGCAGCAGGGGGGGCAGAAGTGCCACTGCCAGAGACAAAGGAGGGGGCCTTGGCTGAGGAGAAGGACAGAAAATACTGCCTTGACCAAGAGCTTTCCCAAGAGGAAGCTGAGACCCACCAAGAGCCATCCCAAGGGAAAAACAACGTTGGCCAAGAGCATTCCCAGAGGGAAGTCAAGAGAGATCAAGAGGTGTCCTAAGGGGAAGATGACAGTGCCAACCAGCTGTCCCAGGACAGCTGTGAATCCCAGAGGACTCTGCAGGAAACATCCCTCCCACTTCAGGCAGGCCCTCCGGGCTGTTCCAGGACCCTGGAGGGCGGCACGGCCGCAGGATTAGTCCCCACACCAGCACCAGGCCCGGCCCGGGGATGGGAGGTTGGACAGCACTTTTCCGGGACAAACATCCCTGTTGTAGTTCCTGGAGATCAGAACAACACGGCACAGCACAAGTGCGGGAATGAGGCCAAGAAGAGACCATGGACTGTCGGGGGGATCAGGACCCGGGAGGCAAAGCTGAATCCTGCAACCCCTAGGGCTCTGCTGGAAATGATATCTCTTTTTGAACGCTTTAATGTTTTCATTAACTTGTTAATTAATTGTTTTAACTAATAATATGCAATCTGTTGAATCGTTTTCAGCTTGCATTCAGCAGCATTTGACATGAGCTGCTTTTGTGGGAGCACAGCTTGGGAAAACACTGAAAGTTTCATTTTTGATCAAGTAACTCTGATAGGGAGAGAAAGATGTGTTGTTGAAGTTGGAAATCGAGCATGCAGAATTTATGGACCATGAGGATATTTTACAGAAACCAGAAGGTAAAGAAGAGACTAAGAGAGACCCGGTATATGTGACGGAAAGTCCGTACCGGGGCAAGCTCATCCTAAAAAGATTGAAAATATGGCCTTAATTCGCATGAACAGGGAGGAATTAATAACCATAGAGGAGAGATTACTCATCAATGGAAGGGAATTACGTCATTTAGAACCAATGAACATTCATTACTTTCTTTCCTAAAAATTAATGAACAGTTGTAAAACTGTTGCATTGTTGTCTGGGTAGAGGCCGGGATTCTGTAGGCCATGGACACACCCAGGATTGGGAATAAAGTAATGCCTTGCTTTCTAACAGGAAAAATGCAGTGCTAGAGGTTTTTATTGTCCCATGGATTCTGGAGGATTTTTGGGGACGGGTGTACAAATCTGATGAGAAGTGTCTGAGAGAACTGGGTGTGTTTAGCATGAGGAGAAAGAAGCTGAGGGGGCACCTAATTGTTCTCTACAACCACCAGAAAGGAAGTGGTAGCCAGGCGAGAGATGGCTTGTTCTCCCAGGGAACAAGCACTAAGACAAGAGGAAAGGGCGTCAAGTTGCGCCAGGGGAGATTCTGATTGGATCTTAGGAAAAATACCTTCACCCAAAAGCTTATCAAGTTTGGGAACAGACTGCCCAGGGAAAAGGCTAACTCCCCATCCTTGGAGGCATTTCAAAAGCCTGTTGATATGTCATTTGGGGACACGGTTTCTTGGTAGAATAGGCAATGTAAAGTTTACAGTTGGACAAAAGATCTCCAAGGTCTTCTCCAACCTCCATGACTCAGAGATTTAACTTAAGCTCAACCAGTGTGGAGTCAGGGCTTGGACTCCAACACCCTCAAGGGTCCCTTCAAACATGGCTATTCCATGTGACTGCCAGTGAAGAGCAGATGATAATAAATGCAAAAGAATGAAGAATGGAAGTTCTTGGAAGAAGATTAACTCCAAGGCAGCCTTAAGCATTACACCAGGGCTACTGGGAGTTGCTGAGCCGGGGTGGGGATGAGGGCGGGGTTGGCCTGGCTGTGATGTGATCTGGCTCTTGTGACATCACAGGGATTGTGTCACAATGGGGGCAGCTAGAGATGGCCCCAGCAGGTAACGCTGCCCCAGTCGAGCCTGGACAAGTGGTGAGTGCACACGCAGGGGCGAGGCTGCGCTGGGCGAGGGCCGGGGCCCAAACGCTGCCCCTGGGGCTGGGTTCTCCCTCTGCACCCAGGGCCAATCCCTCACCACAACACCTGGGGCACAGAATGCTGCTGCTGCTGCTGGGCCAGTGGGACAGGCCTTGCTGTCTGCCAGCTGCCCTGGAGCCCTCTCCTTCCTGCTCCCCATCCCCTCTGCTCCCATCCACACTGCCCTCACCTCTAGCTCCTTCCCTCCCTTTCAGCCCCACTCAACCCCTTCTCTCTCTCCTCCCGCAGGCCATGGCTGCGAAAGTGTTTCTTTTCGTGCTTTTGCAAACCCTCATCCAGTACCCCCAGATGGTGGGTGATGGGCTGGACGAGGTCACCCGTGCGCGCATGGAGCTGCGTGCAAAGCTCCTGAACAGGGAGATGACTCGGCTGCTGCAGGAGCTGGAGCAGAGCAGCCTGGAGCGCAGTGTCAGGGCCTGGGGAGCCCTGCTCTGGGCTGCCTTGCAGCAGGGGCAGTTCTGGGCTCTGGCTGGAGTCCTGGGCCTCCTCTTGTGGCTGTGGTTTATCCGCAGCAGAAGGAGCCGCCAGCCAGGCAACAATGGCGAGGAGGAGGAGGAAGGAGATGGCGATGGTGGTGGAAATGAAGGGGAAGAAAACAGTGATGTGAGTGTGCAGGCAGTCTACAACGATGATGATGCAAGTGAAGGAGAAGACCATGATCTTGCAAATGAAGTAGAAGAAGAAGAGGATGTTATTGCCCACAACCTGAGACGGCATTTAGAGGAGTACAGAGTGCAGCTGATGAAAGGTTGCGCTATTACAAAAGTCCTGGTGGACAGCTTCACCATGTTCTTTGCAGACCTCTTGTCAGGCTTTTCATACCCAGTGCCGCAACGAGCCATCGGGGTGGGCAGTGCCTTTGAAGGTTGGAGTCCCCGGGAGGAGGATGTTGTGTACTGTTTCCTTGTACCTCTCAGTCCTCCCCTGGGGTACACCTTCCATCTGGAGATGGTCACTTTGGGGCACTTGCCAGGGAGGAACTTCTGCGTCCGCGTGGAGCCGGTGTGCACCTGCCCGAGGGAGCAGCAGGACGAGAACGTGCTGTGCTCCGTCCACCACCCAGAGGAAGAGCAGAGGAGAAATGAGGAGCCCACCTTCCTGAACACCCTCTGCACCGGCTCCTACCTCGATGTGGATAAAACTGCCCGCTGGTTCTACCAGTTGGTGAGAGCGAGCTGGCCGGCTTTGCCTCAGTCACACAGTTGGCAATTAGTGCTGCTGCCCCCCAGCCGCTGCTGCAAATTCAAGGTGACTAGAGACGGAGAGAGCCTGACGGTT